AAACTCGATCATGCCTAGATTTCCTTAGGACTGTGAACTGTAAGTGATATTAATTTTGAATTTTTTGAACTCTTTACCAGCATATAGTCTCTCTCCCCAAATAGAGAAATATAAATAAATAAAATATCTTAGCATATAAAAGGATTTAATAATTTCTTAAAGTTATTTATGAAATCTTACACATTTTATTTTATTAAAATTTATTTATTTATTTATAAAATAAATAGTATTTTATTTTAATTTTGGATTCTTTTAACTTATTAGCAGCTCACTCTGACCCTGAATACAGAAATATATATAATAAAAATATCATGGATATAAAAAGATTTAAGAGTTTATTGAAGTGATTTATGACATCTACACATTTTATTTTATGAAAAAGTTATTGATTTTTTTTTTCAAATTGTTCATGATACAAAAAATGTCATTGTTTACCAAAATATACAGAAATGTTGAGTTTCGATCATAAACTAGAAATCAAATTATTATTTTAATAAAATAATTTGGCATTAAAAATGTTTTATTAATATTCGAAAAATGGTAAAATTTTATCAAAAATTTATTTATTTCAATAAAAAAAATATTGCTTATATATATATATATATATAAATTCTTTCTAAAAAATGAAGTTAAAGAATTGTGAAAAAATAATTGTTACCTTAATCTTTAATATTCAGTTTTTTTTCTAACAAAATGGAATATTTGTTACTTTGATATAATATAATTATATTATTAATTATATTAAAAAAATTATTTTTATTCAATCTTGAATAGTTAATTATATAATTACTTTAATAATTCTATGAAATATAAATTTATTAAAACATAAAATAATACATTGTTAAATGTAATTGTAATTTTTTTAATATTACCATGTATAAAAAATGAAATAAATTCCAACAATAATATTATATGGTTTTCAATTTCTTTAGAAATATTTTTATTTCTTTAATATGCAACGTTAAACCTTTTTAAGTGACAAAATCATATAATAAAAGTTTCAAATCAAAATATATATACATTCGGTGGCTTGTAAGATACATCATTTGAATTGGGTGTATGAGTCGATCTCCCATGTAAGTAAGGTAACATGTGGATTGAAAAGAAGAGTTAAAAAAAAGAAAAGAAAAGAAAAGAAGATATTGACGAGATAAAACTTAGTTTGAATTGTTTACGATACAAAACATCTAGTGACAAATGACAAAGTTTGATAAAGACATGAAGAGATAATAGAATTAACACAAAATAATTGAATTGGCTATCTTTATAAACAGATTTAGTTTTATCTTTTAGAATTTTTTTAAGTGTGGAGAGAGGCAAAATATTTAGTTTGGGTCTAAGATTAGAGAAGATAGTACTGGATAGAGACTTAGTTAATAAGTTTGCAACTTAAAATTGTGAAAATATGTGTTTGACTACAATCTGTCCTTGAAAGGCTTTCTTTCTAACAAACCATAGGTCTAACTCAAAATGTTTAGACTTGGAGTGTAAAACGGGGTTGGTTGTCAACAAAATTGCACCTTGATTGTCACACCAAATCAAAGGAGGTTTGGATGATGGAATTTTGAACTCATAAAAGAGAGATTGTAACCATGAAATTTCGGTAACAAGGACAACCATTCTTTGAAATTCTGCTTTAGTGCTTGATCTAGACACATGTTGTTTTTTAGCAATCTATGAGATGATATTCTTGCCTAAGAATAAGAAGAATCTTGAGGTAGATCGTATGTTAAATAATCTAAGGTCCAATCAGAATCACAAAAAATGGCTGAATTAAAATTCTATAATCAATAGTTACATTTATGTATTTTAGTACCCTCTTTGTACCTATCCAATTAGACTCAAGAGGATGGTGCATGAATTGAAATAACATGTTGACAACAAATGCCACGTATGGTCGAGTGATGATTGCATATTACAATGCTTTTTCAGCGACATCATTAGATATACTAAATTTTATTAAAAAGAAAAGAGATGAATTACTTGCTACAATTATTTTGAATATTTATGAAGAGTGGATGGTTGTTGTTTTAGAAATTGGGCCAATACTTACACCTTTAATACTATTATGCCTAATAATGACTTTGAAAATTAAATTAGATAGATCAATTGGATTAGAAATTGATCATGTAAGTTCAAAATACTCATCGTTAAATTCAAATTAGTGAAGTAAAAAATTTAATCAAATTGATTAAGAATTGGTTAAAATAAAATACAAATTAGCCCAAATTAATCCATTTTAAGGAAATGACTTTTTTTTAAAATTTTTTTTTTAAAAATTTATAGTTCTAAAATATTTTAAAATAAATAAAAGTTTATGTGTAAGTCTTATCTTTGAATTGTTATTATTTTACTTATGTTAATTAATATTTTACTTAATTAGATTTTTTTGTAAATTTTGATTTTTTTTTATCTAAAAGTATCTTTTACTAGATCCAATCATAAATTTTGATTTAACTTTTTTTATAAATAAAATATATATTATTAGAAAGAGTTTAAGGGGAACTCAAAACTTATTTACACAAATAAAATAAAATAATATTTACTAAAAAAAAAATGCTTTTAGACATGATCATTTCAATTCTATTAGAATCTTGAATGATACAAACAATTGCTTAGGATGTTAGAAGGCATTTGAGGGTCTTACGTATACTTTAATGGTAGGTGTTCTTGCACAAAATACTTTAACGCTTAAATTAGAAGGGTTATCTCAAATTATCGTATGAATAAAGTTAGAAAAGATACCTATCTCAAGAAAATATCTATTTTATATATAATTTTGAGTAATTTGTCTTTTAATACACCTGTCATAGATTGTTGGAATGTGTTAGGACACATTTTTTATGGGTGAAATGTGTAATGGTTGAGTTGGTACCTAGATGATTAGCCTTAAGTTTAAGACTAACTGTGGATGAATAATAAAAATATTTTTGTTTAATTTTCATGTTATTATTATAAAAGTAACTAATTCTTGTTAATTAAATCCTAAATTGCCTAATTGTAATAAAAGCCATCGCTATCATATGTTAATAGTTACTAGATTGGGTGATTTAGGCTTGCAAAGGAAGAAGCTTGCAATCGCTGTCAGATAATTTGTTACTTTCGGCGTAGTAGTGGATATCATGGCTTCTCAGCTGTCATAACAATTTCACATAAAGAAATAGATAAGATTGTTTGGCAGCAAGATTCTCCTTAGAGAAAGAGAACATGTTTTGATATGAGTAGGACCTAACATAACCCTTTTGTTGTTGTCAAGTCTCTGCCAAGCTTTAACTGAATTTTGATTGCAAGACAAAATGAGTTCATACTTAGTGGAGCACTGCATGCAATCTATTATGTGGCTCAAACAGAAAGATAAAATATTAAGCAGTTTCATTAAAAATAAAAATGACTGTATTCATGTAATGCCAACTGTGCTTTTAATGAACATCCCTATTTTAATTTATTCAAATTGTACTTGAGTTGGCATCACATAAATGGTTTGCACAAAGAAATTCCATCCCATATATTTATTGAATTATAATTCATTTTTTAATTGGTTAAATCTCTAAGTTTATTCTCTCCTAATTTATTCTTAATTTCTTCATTTTTAATTTTAAATTATTTTAACTAATTATGTTTATTTTTAAATTTTAAATATGTTTTCTCTTTTAATTTTTATTTTTAGATTTTACTGAATTAAATATAATTTTTATTTTACGATTATATATACATATATAATTTTTTATATTTCACCTAAATTTAAAAATTACATGTGCCGTAGGTGAGATGGATTCTAGTTTTAAGCGTCAAAGAATTTTTTAATTGTGAATTCTTTTTAACAGTGTAAAATTTGATCTACATAAAACTTTTTTTTTAAAAAAAAATTAGTCTTTATGCATCACACATTCTTTTTATTTTTATTTTTATAATTTATTTATTTTTCACATAAGGACTAGAGTGAAGAATGTGCTTTGTGTAATAACTATGATTAAAAAAAATATATGTTATGTGTGAGAATCAAAATAAAAAAGTATTTAAATACAAGATAATGTTATGATATGAACATTAACCACAAAGACTATTTTAAAAATATTTTTACGTTTATAGACTTATTTAAATACTGTTTTTCACAAGGGCCAAAATAGTATTTAAACTTTTAAAATATATACTTGAGATACACCTTTTACTCTTTTTCAATATAAATGAATTTTTTAATAGTAACAAATAATCATAAATGTGACTGTTAATAATTTTATTATTTTTTTCTACAACTTTTAGTGTCACCAACAACGAATTTGGAACATCTTATTCATTTTAACATTTTAAAAATAGAATAAAATTCTATACCTCTACTATCAACTTTAAAATTTGATCTAAATCTATATTTTCTCTTCTAAAGTTATATTTATAGGGGCTTAGAAGATTTGTTGCCTGCACTTCTCTCACAGCTTAGATTTTACTCGAAAAATATTTTGCTCTTATACTTTTATATTTTTTGATAAATTTTAGTCAATAACAGAGAAAATGTTGTTAACTTAAGAGAAAGACATCTCTAAAAGGCTCCTTCACATTCAAATGAATTGAAACATAACATATACTCTTCTTTGAATGGAAGAGAATGTATATTTTAAAATAATAAAGGAACAACTTGCTACGGGATGAACAAAATACAAACTGATTTCATTTTACTTTTTGGTCAAAATATACAAACCGATTCAATGCTCCACATGAAAATTTTATGTTCTTTTTTGGGTCCAAGATGAATACAAACAACAGACCCAAAGCCAAGCCCAAAGGAAAAAACAAAGACTCCACCAAGGAGACAAATAATGCTGCAGCCGTAATTTCATTTTACATTTTTTTTAACTACATCACCCTTTTTTTTCATCTTTCAAAAATATATGCTTTTATATCTCTAATATTATAAATATTTTCTTTTCTAATAAATTTTACTACATGTAAGAAATTAACAAAACTGTTTAAATATATAAACTAATGCACATGGACCAGGCATCCTAAATGTCAGACATGTAGATAAATCTGCTAAAATTAAAAAAGTAGCCAGTAACTTTACAATGAAAACTACAACTGTGCCACTCTTTATCATAAAACCCAAAGGGAATAAGTGAAATAATAAATCTAAAAAGGATTTTAAAAAAACATCCGGCAACAAAATATAAATGAAAAGGGGGAGAAGTTATTGCTTCAATGCTTTGCCTCCCTCGTTCTCTCTCTTGTCATTTTTGAAACTTCGAAATATAGATCCTTCATTTTTCAATTGGCAAGTTACTTTCCTAAATTGAGAAACATGTATAGTAGCTATTTTATATTCTTAAAGGATGTCTATTTTCCAATATTTTGGCTTCTAAGAAGAGCTGATGGATGGAAGAGTGATTGAGATCTTCAAGCGTGGAGGTGGTATAAAAGATACTGCTATTAAGACGATTTTTTTACAAAGTTGAGAGGACTTGATTTCCCGATGAAGTTCAAAACCAAGTTGAAGCTGAATAACTCAAAAGGAGAAAATAGTTATATTCTAAAATGAAGTTAAGATGTTTATTTGGCAAAGCTCAGAAGTTAAAAGGGTTGTGTAATCTTTCCTTACCTTTAAAATAATTAAACAGTACCGCATCTTAAAGCTTATAATCGGCTTCTCCTAAAACAGCCAGTGTTTCCTCTTCGGTTTACGTGGGATTGGTGCTTCTGTGACAAAGACAAGAACATAAATCAATAACTAATATACATTCCAATTCTGTATCCAGATAGTATTTGGAAGTTCATATCAATAAAGGACAAGAAAACCTTGAATGTCGTATAGTGAATTGTAATGTACCTCAGACCAAAAGCTTAACCACAGCTCTGCATCAATAAGAAAATGAAGGGGAAGATAGGGATAAGAGGATACAACAATCGGCAATTTCAAAATTCAAGATCAGAGAAGTTTCAAAATTCATGTTCAATTAGATATCTCTAACGTGCCAAGTCTTTTTTATTTTCCCAGTTGAAGTTCACATGCAAGTCTGTAATTCGCTCCATTTTGATATTCAATCTTCTTACAAGGTGGAATTTTCATGATATATGCTAGACTTTGAAGTATAGCAGCAGCTTATGAACTTATTCAATTGATTACAAGAAGCATGCACTAGACATTGCTATATTTCAAAACAATTATTGCTACATTCACCTTGTAAATTCTTAAGACTTGTTGAAGTTATCAAGTTGAATAACGATGATGACCATCTTACCACGCTTTGGTGCTTGATACAGTGGCATAATTTCAATGAAACAAGTGTCTCTGAATGATGTCAAAAGGCATATCTTTGCAGAAAACTTCACAAAAAACAAGAAACATTATACTCCATGTTGATAATAATTCAAATAAAATGAAATTATATTTACTAGTTTAACAAAAATAAGAAACACAAGTTAATTGGAGAATTGGATGTACCAAGAAATTTGAGCATGCATTTTTCAATTTCGGCTAAAAATATAGAATCATTGCATGAACTCTAATGGAATAGCAAATCAATAAAATTAAATTACCATATCATATTGTCATTATTGTATTTGTATTTCATTTTCCCATCTACTATAACACAAACTAGCTCTACATTTTATATATGAGTACTCAGATGGGTATCTGAATATATGGCAAAGATATCTCGTTGGACATGATTGATGAGGTCAAAACACACTTCCACTTGTGCTCTCCAATTGCAACTAAATTAGGCAAAAAAACAAACGACCAGCATGTCTGTGCTTCAATATCATGTGTACTTTTCCCCAACCAAAAGTGCTAATTAGAATGCTGATAAATATATTATTAAATCTAGGAAGAGAGAGAAATAATTGGGAGAAAAACACCTTAACATCTGGTTCATAATGATTGAAAATGAAATGACAATTAATATAGTCATTAAGGGATAGAACTGATTAGAAAAATTATAACAATAATTTAGAGAAAGATAGTGTTGACAATATAATGTGGAACTGGCATAAAAGAAACCCAAACCTAAAAGACTCAACAACAACTATCACAATAACTTATCACCTAAATTAACAATAAGTGAAACTTATTAATGGAGTAGGGTATTTTTTGGGGGAGAGGCTAAGGTAGTTGTAAAACTGGTCTACCCGTGTCCACATCCCTTTATTTATCAGTGCATGCCCTTGCCTTATGTTATAGTTATATCGATGTACATATTACTCACACTCTAAATGCAAGGCCTCAATTACAATCATAAAAATAAATTTCCAATTACAATGCATATTAAAGGAGTTGTTATTTCAAGTCAAAGAACAGATAAACCTTATCAGCATCTAACAAAAGCAGTAAACTATTTAAACACAGCAAACCTTATCAGCAGCTGCCTGTAAGGTAACGTGGTCCCCCCATTCTCCAGATCTTTCATGTGGTAGATAGAAGGAAAATTAAAGTTGGATTAAAATGACGATAAAAGAACCCACAAATGTCACTCATATAAGCGAAGTAGTTCATTTTTAAGATACGTACTTTGCCATTCTCTTGTAATATTGTTTATACTTCATTGGTACATAACATTCATATGAGGAATGATGATCTTTGAGCTGGCAAAGAGAAATGTTTTTGCAAATTAGCATCTCAAACAATCGATTTACAGTGTTTAATAGAGTAATAGACCACCCTCCTGTACACAAGGATTTGTATGATTTTGGTCATATATGATCTAAGTATCTATTGCATACATCCCTCGTAAGCAATTTTTATCCTATCGTAGACATTAAGAAAGAACAAAAAACCTACTGATGTACCTCTTCCCCACTCCAGTTTAAGAATGCCCTCATAAATTCATCTATACATCAGTAAATAACCACAAACCTAGAAAAGCAGATATCCCCATAGCTAGACATTTTTCATAAGGTTTGCTTTCTACGTGACCAACAAAAACCAAATGCCCTCGTAGCATACGTACCTGTTTTACAATCTCTTTTCGAACATGCTTGTGGTATTCAGGTGATCTAAAGAGCTGATCTGACAGTGCACGAAACTACAATGTGGGTAGAATCATCAATAGAAGTTCAAAAGGAATGATAGTTAACTGTTATCTAGATAAGATACCTGACAATTTCCATCTCCAGAGACTTTAACTTCACAGAGACCATAGATTTGTAACCTTTAAAAAGAGAGAGAATGATTTAATACCTCCAACAAATATAACATATCGATATGGGCAGAAACAAGCATATAATGTTTTACTAGTTGAGCTGATCCTCATTATCTTACAAATCTAGATTTCTAAAACATATTAATATCTTCAACAAATGTTAAGGGAAAAGGCAACAAAGTTTCAAAATCCCTGGCAGCTTTAAGTTCCAAATTTTGATGCTTCAGACTTTCTGTTTCACACATAGCAAGGAAAATAATTAACATAATTATTAACCATACAAATTTTCTTTTACCCGTTATCTGTTATTAAGTTCAGAAAATATCTGTGTACTGACCTTATCAAGAGGTTTTACAGTATCTATGTAGTCTTGTTTTAAGAGCCTCAACCACATGGCTAACTAATATGCCACTACTTGACTATATTCATGACCTACAATTTCCATGATTACATGGCAGAGCAAGTATTTACCTATGTAATTTTCATTTAAACACCTAATTTGAATTTACTGTTTTCAGTTTTTTTAATCAAGAAAAATTATGCAGTACACTTACTGCACCGGTAATGTTTTGACTACATGAGTGCTTATTTATTGGCCCTGCCTGGTTATTATAATACCCTTCTCATTTAATCAAAAGGGAATATATGAAAACTTCAAGTCTTTGGAATATTACTAACACAGAATATATGAATTTCATAAAACTATAAAACAATGACATACCTCTGAAGAAGACGCTGGTGATCCATGCTAGCATCATTTATGTTGGGGAAGAATGAGTTTATTCGGGGCACATGCTAAAATTTCAAGAAGTTAGAATTATAAGAAATTCAGAAAAGCATAATTATTCAGATATCTCATCCTCCAGCTCTTAAGTAAAAAGGAAGTGTGCTCATTTGGGAAAGTCTACTTTTCTCTGTGATGATAAATTGACAATGTAGATGGGGCAAAATGCAGAATAATATAAAAATATCAACAATATTATATATTTAAAGTTATTCTTTCTCTTCCATAATATATAACTAATGCAATACATACACTGATACACCATTAACTTGATAATTTTTATAATGAGGGATTTGAAAAGCAAAATTCAAACATGGTACAAAATGAACAATTAAATAATTAGGCAGTTATGCTTTCGGAATTTAATGTGTGTGAATGACAGTTACAGGAGTAGGCAGTTATGTATTCAGAACATAATGTGTAATGTGTGTGTGAATGACAGTTATGGTAACTGTTCATTTTCTGGGACAGAGATACTTCCTCAGAGACGTTTTTGAAACTCTGTGACAACAAGATAAGTTGTATTTTTGTGTGATATAATATGATTTCTATCAATTTATCAGTAATGTTCTATCATAATTCAGAGAATAGCATAAAAGTAAGAATTCTTACAGGAACAGGTGCCAAGTTGGAAAGTCGTCTGCCAACTGCACCATCCAATTTGGCATACTCTTCCGACAACACGAGAGCAATCATTTGGTCATCCTCGGTATCCTGCTGACTGCTTACGGAATTCGAGCTGGAACTTTCACCCCAGTATTGAGTTCCATTCATTATGCCCTGAGCTGGCAATAACTGGAAGCTTCAACCTAAAGCTAAAATTTATCACAATTCTCAATTTCTAAACCTGCAAAAAGACCTACATGTCATCAAAATTCTAAATTATAAAATTAATCTACCAAGTACTTTTCATATCTTTAGTCCTCAAGGTCTAAATAGAATACTCAATTAAGAAACACATACATGATGCACTAACTGGGAAATGAAACCATTTCAAAAAGTGTAAAATAAAAAGTAATATCATACACCAATCGTTTGATATATACAAAAGATCCAAACAAAATGGGACTATGACGGACAAGTATGCACTAATCAGACAATCATCAATAAAGCAGCAATTGACAAACTGTTCTTAAAATAAGCTAAATAAAACGAGTACAAGCATTGATCGTAAACAACAAATGGGTACAATCACAAGGGGATTAGCTTGAATTCTGATAAACCCTTGTAGTTACCAAATTCAGAAGTGTTGGGTTTTACAATATGTAAAATCAGAGCGATGATTTTGATCACAATCACATTAAAATGAGGGGGAAAACTATCCATGAGCCAAAAGCACGATGGCTGATAACTACCGCAACCCAATGCTGTGAAATGAATATTCATTACCAAAAAGCGAGTATATATACCCACAAAAAGAAAAGAAAAGAAGAAGCATGTACCTGTGAATCTTTTGCTGCAATCGATTAAATTAATGAGTAGTTCTGATTTGGATCAAACTGAGTAACGAATGGGTCCGTGAAAGACGAAGGAAACACAAGGCGCGTAATAAAAATTAAAAAGAGAAATTTTCTCCCCCAATAGAGATAGAGATGAACAATGTAAAAAATATCAATGGGTAAGTTAAGACTCAGCAATCTAGCTAAAAGGATGCGTTAAATTTCCTTTTTCTACGGAAATATAAAATAAGATGAGAGGATGACCACTTAGTTTATAACTAATTTAATTAGCTCACAAGCGATAAAAATAAAAGTATGTTATCTCACTAACTTATATTTTATATATATATATATATATATATATATATATATATAGTAATTAAGGTATTATTTTATTTTATTATACATTTTTATATTTAGTCTCATCATAATTAAATTTTTTATTATAATAATATAGTTAATTTAATATAAATTACTAAATTATAAAATTACTTGTGAATCATTTTAAAAAAATAATAAAATATAGTTTAAACAATGTTGAATATAAATTTTAACTATTATATTATTTATAAATTTTATTATTACTAATAATTAAAATGAATACCCACATGTGTATATATATATATATATTATCAATCACACTAAGTGCAAATTTTGATGCATATATTGTTTAGTAATTTTATATAGAATATTAAATTAATTAATTTAATTGTCAAATTATTTTATACTATTCTAAAGTTGATATCTACTTATATTTTAAAAAATATTATACATTAACATAAAATAATACTGTGATTTATTAAGTTTGTTTTTATATAAAATTTTATAAAGTTAATTTATATAATAAAAACTTTTAAATCAGATTAAATTAATCAATCTCACATTTAATAAAAAAAAATATTAAAATGGTTAAATATTTAAATTTAACATGTGGTATATAAAGATACTAACAACAGTGAAAATTCGATATCAAGGGTTCAATGTTCCTTGACTGGATGAGAGCAAGCAAGCTATACGACAATGCAAGACAACGAGTTCCTTCAAAATTTGTATGCAAAAAAAAATGTTTAGAATGGATGCCAAGAAGACAAGGTTTTGCTGTCAGCAAATTGTCACGTGTACGCGTTGGTAATGGTAAAAACTATTATCTTAGTATTTTGTTAAACATTAAAAAAAGATGCATGAATTTCACAAATATCGAAACTTTTAAAAGCATAACTTATATATATAGTACATATAAAGATTCATGTTATGCTACTGGATTATTTCAGGATGACAAATAATTCACTGATATAATAAATGAAGCAAGCTCATGGGCATCTGGCTATGACATGCAAAAGCTATACATGATTTTACTTATTTCTAACAACATATGCAAATCATAATTTGTTTAAGAAAATTGTTGGAATCAATTATGTGATGGAATGTTTTTCAACAGAAGAAGAATATTAGATTTTAAAGCTTAACATTTACGTTGATGTTAACTGTACTTTATATAATCATAAAACTATTTGCTTGTATTATCTTTTGGTTAAGTTACAGATCTTAGTTTGACAATAGCGATTTGAAGGATCTTGCTCTTGTTGAAATAGAAGAAATGTTGGAGTCAAATGGAAGGAATTTAAGAGATTATCCATCAATGTCATATCCTTCGATCACCGGAGTTACTATCATCTTTGAATGACAAAATAATTGCTGAATTGTTATATTTTGACAATAATCACAAAAAAATATGTTGAATAAGAACTCAAATTCAATGTACAGACAAATGTTTTTCTATGTATAAAAGTAATAGTTGTTTATGAAGGCAAATTATCTTTTTCTTTGTATATGGTTATAGAGTAAAAGGAAAAACATTTGTTTAGAATAATTTGTTAGCTACAATCAGTTGTAAGGGACATAAATGTCTAAATGTTACTTCCAGTGAAATTGCTTTATTATTATTGTCAAATGAAAGAACTGCACATTTACAGTTTAAAATATTATTAAATATGAATGAAGATTCATCATATAACATAAACAAGGAAGTTGTCATGCAAAGCTTTTGAATCTAAGTTGATCATATGGTAATAGGCTCCTATGGTCAACAAATATTGTTTCGAAGCTTGAACACGTTTGAGCGATATTTTGAGATTTTCCAACACTTACAATCCTAACTTATCGTTTGGAGGAAGATTTGTTGTCTTTAAGTGGAGATTTTATGCAGATATTTTTTGTCATTCCAAAAGGTAGAAAGGAGGATATAATTTTTGCAATAATCATTTTGTAAGGTATAAAAGCTGAGGTTCCAAGTCAATTCAAATGATGAATGAATGAAGTTAAAAAAAATTCAGTGAGTGGCTAATAAAAAGTTGGAGACGAATTGTAGCAACTCAATAGAAATAGAAATTGAAGTAAAGATACCAGGAGACCTACTAATTATGAATTTAGCTTTTGGACTGAATGATTTAATCAATTTCGCTTATCCAATGTTATTGTCAAACATTTTATAAGACATTATTAGCACCTAAGTTGGACATTGTTGCTCAAGTTATTGACTATATCATGAATTTAATTTCTAAAGTTGAGAAAACATACTTGCGTTTTTATTTATTTGTAAAGAAAATAACTGAAAAAACGAGTTTGATACATTCTGTTGACATTTTAGTCGCAACAAATTGTTTAGGTTTGCCACCACATAAACTCATATTAAAAATATAAGTTTTTATCATGTTACCATGAAACATTGTCCAAACAAATAGATTATGCAATGGAGCAAGACTGCAAGTTAGAAGGTTGGAAAATCATGTCATAAAATGCTCTATACTTACAAAAATAGAGTTGGAGAAGTGGTTCTTATTCCAAGAATGACAATGGTACCAACTAATCAAACCTTGCCAATTAAATTTCAAAGCAAACAATTCCTAATAATTTCCTCTTTTGCCATCACAATCAATAAATCACAAGGACAAACTCTCTCTTATGATTGGTTTCATCTCCTTACCTTGTTTGTATACATGGTCATTATTAGGATGTCAACCAAGTGAGGTGAACATGTTAGTAAATAACCTCACTCGCCCCGCAGGTTAAAATTCACCTTGATACCCGCACAGATATTTGTCAGGTTAAATGGGTACTTGCGAGTACCCACAGGTTTTTTATAATTCTTTATTAAAATTATAAAATTATAAAATTACAAAATAAAATAAAATAAAATAAAAAATTATCATCAATCATCCGCATAATATTAAAATAAAAATAAATTATTCACATAACACTAAAAGGGTAATTAAAACATAACTTTAGGATTATTAATGTTAGAATTATGTTATTTTTTAATTTATATAAAGGGGTAATTTTTATAATTTTTGTAGATGGACATAGTATCTCACTACTCGAACTCGTCCTATTTAATTAATGAGTACCAAAAAATTCATTTATTACACCTGTTGTTACTTGTTTGCAAATCTTAACCTAACCTGCAATGAGTATTACCCGTGAGTACATGTGGGTAGATTTTTTTACCATCCTTGGTCATTATATGTTTCTATTTCAAGGGAGTAGAAGAGGATTAAAAATTTCTTTTAGAAAATCATGGACATCTAATAATTGTACAAGTAATCATATAGTATTACATATTTAAGGCCCAATTTTGCTTAACTTTATTGGAACAACAGAATTTTATTAAATAATATTATTATTCATATTTATTTAATAATAATATTATTAAATAAATATGAAACAATTCGATCTTAAAATAAGGTCAGTCATTTCCGTCCAATGATCTCGTGGGATTGAACAAGTCTTGATTAAGATGAGTAGTGAGTTGAATATATGGTTTGCAGTTGTTAAAACTTGGTGCATCATTCATGAAACCTTCAAGAAGTTATAGCAAAATAATGAACCAAAATGGAACTCCTTCGGCTCAACCATGGGAACAAGCTTCAAGTTGTTACTAGGCAATAACATTGTCAACAACATAAACATTGATGATGTTTCTGGTGGAGATGGTGAGGCCGAGATGTTATTTGGAAAAAGACATGAATGCAAAGTTAAAAATAGAGAGGATGGATCAATGACAACGACGGGAAAGAGAGAGAAATGAGAAAGAAAATGAAAATGAAAAATAAAGATGTGAAAGAACTTTATAGACCTAATAAGAGAAAAAATCATAAAACATAGGCCTTACATGGAGACTAATTAGTTAGTTTGATTTTTAATAGATGATAATTAAATAAATTGAAACTAACCCAATGACACTCATCAAATTAATTTTTTCACTTCCACAAAATAGTTACTCGATTTGATCTATTTTAAAGTTAAATTTTAATTTTAATTTGCTTAAGTTCAGTTTATCACAAGTTTATAAACATCCGTAATTTTAAACAATACTTTATTTATTCATTACTATTGCTATTATAATAATAATATAATTATTATTATTATTTACCTATTCTTTGCACGTGTTAATAAATTAGAAAATATTAAAAAAATAATCTAATTTGTGTCTATGCACGAATTAGATTATTAAAAAAATACAAAAGCAAAAATGATGCTGAGAGCAAAAACAGAGGAATCTGAATCTTTTCCAATTTTAAAGGAAATTGTAGCTTGTAATTTATATTTGTTTAAGTAAATTTAGCAAAAAGTAATTTTAACTTAAGACAAAAAAATTCATTTAAACGAATTTAGTAAAAAAGTGATTTTTACTTAAAGTAAAAAAATTCGTTGAGATGAGAAGAAAAGATAAAAAAGAAAAGAAAATTGCAATTTACAGTTTTCATGGCGCAAAATGTAGGGGATCTGTTTCCTAAATAGAGAGGCTAAAATAGATTATGAGCATTTCAACAGTAATTGATAGACCACGTATATATAGAGTTGAGCCAAAAATATTTGAATATTATTCAATGAGGTTTTCTAAATATAAGGATCTTTTTAAATAATTTAATTGAAATATAACTTTTAAGAGGATTTTAGTTAACTTAATATCATAAATTTGGCTTAAAGACAAGTTAAGAGGATTTTTTTTTCTCTTTCTTTCAATGTTTTGAGTAAGCATTTATGTGCTTTAAAGATTTGTAGTTTTTTTAAACTTTGTATATGGGTTTAGATACCTTGTACTTTTTTAATTATTTTTATATGATTAAAAACAATTAAATCCTTTTTTTAATTAGTTGTTTAAAGAAAACATTTAATGAGTATAATTTTATTTTTTCTTAGAAATAATAATATTAAAATATTAGGATTTGAAAGGAAAAAAAAGAAGAAGAAGCAATTTCAAGCAAAAGATATATATATATGAAAAATAATCTTCTTACATGAGTGTAAGTCTAAAAACTCTTACATTCAATTTGAGTTATTATATTTAACTATATATATATAGCAATATAGTTTTAGAAGTGTAAAGTCTTGTGATAAAATTAGATTAAAGTCAAATTAAGGTCAAGGGAATACTTGTTTAGTTTTGTGAAAATGTGTTATAAAACATTCTTTTTAATGGAAGCATAAGTCATAAAATGTTATAGAAACCTAAAATGTTGTAGTGATTCAGTACAAACTACTAATTTAGTGGTAATAAATGTCTCCTGCAATCATCTATTGTAGATCTCAAAGAACATTCCCTGCTTTTATATTCACAGATCTGAAAATGAAGGATTTATGGAGCATTATGATTGATTGAAAAAACTCATTATCAAAGTAATAGGAGGTGAATAGGCTAGCAAAACTATATGTATATTAGATCCAGATTCTCTCATATTCGATTTTGAACATGACATCATGTTTGTGTATTTTTATACATTCGCTTAAGTGTATAAAAATACAAAAATACGACAGTCATGTTGGAAATTGAACATGAGGGGATCACGCATGTATATTCGGCTTGGTTTAATTAATGAATACACTCAAAACTTCTACCCATTTCAAGGTAATTAGCGTGCTGGATCATGCGAAGAATGCCGAACAATATTTTTACTTTAACGTGTGATGAATGTAACATTTCTGATTGTATTGGTAAAGCAACAAAATCTGTAAACCTGATTTTGGATGGCACATCATACATAAAAGTTCTTCATCTCCAAAGGTGCAAAATGTGTCTGTACTATTTAGTGTCACTTTCCAGAGTTGACATCATCAAAATTGGGACAGCAAGTGAGCATGAAACTAAAAATTAAACTTCACCGTATATGCCTTTTCTTATATTAATTATCGTTACTTTAACTTGTGAATTTTATTGGGGATAAAACTTACCTCAAATTACTTACATCTTTGCCATCAAATTTGTACAAAATAAATTATATTTTACACCTTTTAATATTATATAATAAATATTTAATCGATACTATTTAGCATTAAAAAGAAAATCCACATATTATCATTTGATTTGACAACCTAATGAAAAGATATATATACAAACTTTAATTATAAGTTCCATACACCTTCGTGAAGATATTCTGTCAACATGTGTTGTTCATTTTAAACAGGAAGAAAATATTTCACTGAAAAAAAGGAAAAAGAAAACAATGTATCTTAAGCATAAGGAGACATAATTTATAGCATTGAGATTTAACAACTTACCTATGGGCGAAGTTGCTTCAGGCTAACCCTCAAAGTGAAAAGAACAAAGAGTGGAATAAATTATCAAAATAAAGAACGGTTTCTTCTCTTTTTGAAGGAGGCTATTTCAATATCCTGATAATTATCAAAGGAAATAATTAATTATTAAAAGAGAAACATTATTTATTTAAGTCCCCACCGCATCCAAAGAGCGCCACAAAACCATAAAGCACTACATCCTGATCCTTTTCAGCAGGCCTAATTTACATATTATGGTATAAAATAATGAAGCAAATATTTATTAAATCAAACTTAATTTGAAGCTAAGAAAATTAATATAAATGAAAATTTGAAAAGTGTAAACTTTAGGAAACTTCACGAAAGGAAACAGTTAATTGCTACTCCCAGCTAGACTATTGGTGTTTGCTTGCAACTCAGACCTCACACCTTTTGATGCAAATATTCTCTCCTTTTTTTTTTTTTTTTAATTCCTTCAACATGTGGTAGATGTATTCCTTGATTTGGTTTCAATGGCCATCACTATAGTTATGTTGCATGTAGCTAGCTGTAGTGTAGTGCCTTTTCTCCTTGTGCAGGATGGAGCACTCCCACTTTTCCAACCTAAGTCAGCCTTTTCTTTTTCCCTCGTTGTATAAGTATAACCACAATCATTTAATTATTTAAATAAGGCAATGTATTATTATTAGTTTAGTTCTTTGTTGAGTAAAACAAGAAACTTATAACGTGTGATTAAGTTATGAAACTCAGACTTAGATTAGTCTTTTGAGTTCAATTCTTTTTACGTGTTTAAGTCACAACACATTTGAGTGTATCAGAAATTCATGTATTATTATTTATGAATATGAATTTACATCAAGTAGCTAGGCCACATGATTGTGGGTTCATATGCTGCAATAGTTGCAGATTTACAAGATTGAAGCACCATATGCTTTTTCTTTACCATTACAACATCTACAAGTATAACATCTTCCAATTTTTTTTTTCTCTCTCTCTTATTTTCCACAAAACCATCTGAAAAAGAGAACGAGGATGAAGTACACTATATATAGCTCCATCCAACAGTAAAAATGAAAAAACAAAAAATATAAAGAACAAAGATTCATTCACCCTGGTCAGTTCTGCGTTGTACTTTGTCTTAAACCAGTTAAGTACCATAATTATCTTAGTAATGAACCCGGCTAATCTCCCTTATTCTAAAAAAATCAGTAACAAAGGGAGAAGATGAGGTTGAGCCTTTATGTACTTGAGCCAACCATGATAACTAAAACAGCCTAGAAATTCATGCACCATTTTGCCGCATGTCCCTCTTCCTCTTCAATGACTCTTGCTTCTGCAAGACCATTTGCCTGCGGAACTTCAAGATAAAAAGATCAGCAGCAAGGTTAATCTCATCCTCCAGCTTAAACTCTTGCCCAGCTTCTTCCTTAGAATTCTTCACCAAATCAATCACTGAGCCTCCAAAATCCAAACCCTCTGAATCAAAAAGGGTGTGTGTTAGATCCGGGTACTTGTCATCATCATCAACAGCATCAGCATCTCCATAGTTGTAGTAACTTTCATAGCCATCCTGGTCTTGTTCCTCCACCACTTGGGTTTCACAAGGATTTGGCAAAGCCTCGTAATAAGAGTTTGCATTGTTGTTGTACACCACTATGGCCCTGCTATTTTCACTTCCATCTTCCAACAATGAATCCTCCTTGTTGGGCTGAGAGTGATGCCCCCACATAGAATGGAACTTCTCAGAAAGAGAACTCATCAATAATTTCTTGTTCTTCATGAGTGAGAATATAATCAAACGTCCCCTGATGGTGTTTGCTTTTGCCTTCAGGGCCATGGTTTTTGACTTGGCCATTGAACTTAGATTGGCTATGATTTGCTTCAGCAACGACCTTGATGTTCCGTTCTTCATATTGCTCCTTGTGGTAATAATTAGCAAATAAGGAAGTAATAATGATTCTATGGACTTCCTAGTGAACCAAAAATCAGAACTAGAAGGAAAAATTGTGGGTGTGTTTGTGATTGTGCTTTTGAGAGATATTGAGATGGTTTTGAGAGGATTGATGTCGATGTACAAATTTGTACGTTAGTCACACAAAAGAAGTATTCTGGGACGAAAGAGTACAAGGTGGGTACATGGGTTTATATAGGCGATACTGCAAGGTAATGCTTCTAGTGACAACTAGCTGTCTTTAATTTGTGCGAGGGAAACACTACGTTCGTTGAGAAAGAAGGAGTGGGGGTTAAGAAAAGAAAAGAAAAGGCATAAATAAAAGTGAAAATTAAAGTTGAGGGACACTTGGCATTTGATGATAGGGCGTATGAGTTCTGCCTGATTCAGTGGTATACGAAGCTGTACAATTTTGGTGGGCAGAAATTATTAGTGGGGTTGGGTTGGGGAGTGTTGAATTATCTCCTTTTTACCAATGCCATTATTTTATATTTGATTTCTCCAAATGTATAAAAAAAAGGGTGTAGAAGATGAATATGTTCAAATCCTTACTTTCATCATGACCAAACAAAAATAATCCTTACTTTCATGTTCTTGGATTGACAAGTTACTTGATAATGTAGGATGAGAAAAACACCGAAACAAAATTAATTAATTTTGTATAAATAATGATAAGTTTGATCACAATTCTTTATATTGTTAATATCCTTTATAACATGATAAAAATTAATATTAGAGGGTCTAAATCGATAAACTTTGATAATATTATTGATATTTTTGGTGATTTCATTTTTTAATAGAAATAATTTTATCAAAGTTGATTGGAAGAATTTAGCTTATCTAAAATTTTAAATCATTAAAAATATACATGAACGTAAAGTATGAAAACCCACTTGATTGAAATATCAATGAAAATTATGAAACCTCAAAATCTAAAAGAAAGTGCCCATTCTTTTGTAGCTTAATCGTTTTCATTTGGCCACTTTCAATTATTTGACCACAATTAAGGGGGGCCTTTGATGCTTTTGAGGAACCGAGTTGGGGGACATAGGAAGGGCAACCTAACCCACCAGATGGCAATGGAACAATTGAATAGGATTTTAGATATGTGTTCGGGCTCAATGACAAAAATAACCATAACCTTGGACCATTATTATAGAACTAGTTTCTTTTGAGAAATGGAAAGGGGTGGTACCACTGACATTACATCAGGGCTATATTCTATTGTTTTTAGTAAAAATGGGAATCTCATTTACTTAGTGCAGTTATCTTCATCTCATATATACAAATTCTACCTACAAGAAGAGAAGGCTCACATCAAAGAAGTGTTATAAAATAATGGACCCCTTTTTACTACAGGAACGGACTTCAAGGCATAGCGTTAACAAGGTTGAATTGTTGAGGCAATATCCAATGATTGTATCTCATCTTTGAATACTTAGCCCCTAAGCTTGCTTGCATCCAACGGCTTCACATTATCCGTTTGGATCTGCACCACTTTCTAGTGCCGTGTGGTCGCCTGTTTTTATAAAGAAAAATTAAGTTCAAGACATTTTTTTAGTCCTATAATTTTACATTATTTTTAGTTCTTGTTCAAGACATTATAAAGAAAATTGTATTTTATACTTTTAATTATAAAAAATATATATTTGTAAATGAGTTCTTCATTTGACATGATTATAATGATTTCTTTTTATAAAAGACTAAATGTCATATAGCGTGCCTAATATAAAGACTAAAATATAAAAGAAATTTGAATGAAATAACATGAAATGTAAATTTTTTCGTATAAAGATACAACAAAATGGTATTAAGGATAAGCTAAATTTTAATAGTTTTTAGCAAAGATAAATATTAATTTATAAATTATTTTACGTAGGATAAATAATTAAATTTATAAATTTCCGTGTAAGAAGATTAGAAAGATATTGAGTATAGAAATTAATTTTAATTTTAAATAAATAAATAAATAAAAACTTAAATGTGTTTTATATATTTAAAAAAGTTTTTTAATGTAAAAAAATTATTCATTTTTAATACTTACTTTTAATACCCAACGTGATTTTAATGTTTCACTTAACAACCAAGAACACATAATTTTTATATATTTTGGTTACTAAAAATTAATTTAAATCAGACTAATTTTTAAAATAGCATACTTATAGAGACTTAAAAATACGTTTAAGCAAATAGATTGTGAAAATTGAAATTATACCCTCAAGACTAGCATGAGACATCGTCTAATGAATTTTTCAGTAGAATGACTTTAAAAATGTATTTTTTTTTTCTAATTCAAGTTAATCATATGATAAAAATGGTCGTAATTTATTAATCTTAGTAAAAATGTTTATAAGTTACCTCCTCTCAACCACAAATTAAAGCAAATCGAATCGACTTTTCTAGGTCGATTTTAACTATTTCATAAAAGTCTCTTTCTTAAGGTAAATAAACTTTCCACAATTTGAGCCAGCATTCATTGATAAAACAAAGTGTAATAATTATTTTATGGAGTATAGTTTCTTTCTTTAAAACATGATTAAAAATATTAACAAAGCGTTCACTATTAACAAATCAAGTTACCAAGAATCCGTGATTGATGTTTGATTAAAAATTATTATTTCCAAAGAAACTAAAATTAATTACTTTGGTTTTTAATTATGGCAGTTTTATTTTTCTTTTCATTTGGTAACTAGCTTGCTCGGTGTAAAAATATAGGTTTATCTAAGTAAAATAAAATGTCAATACCTTACTTAATATGAGATTATTTATCTCATAGAATAACTTAGCTTAGACACACTTCAAAAAATAAAGATGATAAAATTATGATCTTTTCATTAATATTTGATTTGCTAATAGTAGGATCCAGATGCTATACTTGGAAGTGGAGGTCTAGGGCCTCTTGCATAATATTCCTAAGCTTGAATTATCCAACGTAGAGTTATAGATTGATATAGAGGTGTGAACTTGAAACTGAAATGTTATTTCTTTTACATTTTGTCAAGTAATAATACTCATAAATTGATTTATGTTTTTATATTTATACAATGATATGCTTAACTACACTCGATGCATGCTTCATCAATTATGCCTTCTATCAAAGTCACAATGGTTTTGTATTATATGCATCCTGCATCTTAGATGATCCATTTCAAAATACTAGCTAGCTCTAACACAGTCCAAGAGTTTGAATCACGTTGTGATGTGACTATATTGATTAGAAATTTAGCATGTCTGGATGAATGTGAATTATTGTGAATCATTCATGTTGTTGAGGCTTCTTTCTTTTATTTTTTCAACAAATGATGTAATTTGTGGCAGTTTATGATCTTACGTGAAATTGTTTTGGTGTTGTTCATAATATGCTTATATGTGTCTGTCAATTTGATTTGATAGAGCTTAGTGAGCAGAAGAAAATGAAAATACAAGATTCAGCCTTGACTTGACTAAGTTGGATTCTTTTGCTAGTCTTTACAAAAGAGAAAAATTTTTAAGTTGAATTTTCGTTCACCAGTCTTTATTTTGGAAGGTGAACCCTGAGTCTTGGGTAAGTTGAAATTTTAATTTGCTTTGTTTTTCTATACTTTTTTTATTTCTTTTTTATTTATGTGTTTCGATAAAAAAAAGTCAATTTTTCTTTTGGATGTTTGGATGCGATAGTAGAAAATAAAAAGCAATAAAACTTTCAAGATTTATTTGTAATTTTTGTTAGTAATTGACCTTTTTGTTCAACAACTACAAAGGAGTCAAAACATTCTCTAACAAGTTGTCTACTAATTAATATTTGAGATTTTTGCCTAATACTGGTGATGATGTTTCCTCCGTGCACCAACAATGAAAACTACAGGTTATTCAATTTGTACCATCAATTAGCCATGATTTAGTGACACCTTATAAAAAATAAATTATAAGAACGAAATAACGATAATTTAATTAGAGATTGATTTAGTGATTACTTATGAAAATAAATTATACGACTGAAATAACCATAATATAATAAGAGATCAATTTAGTTACTAGGTTAGTCTGAGTGATAAGTAACTTAGTATTATTTAAATTAATAAATTAAAATTTTTTTAAAAATTTATTCGTTAAATTAGTTAGCAGCTAAAATTTTAATAATTATATTTAATTGGTTACTAATTTAATCATTAACTAATTTAATTATCAAAATTTGTCATTTTACGAGTATGAATTATTAATTAACTTATTTCTAATTGTAATAGGCTAATGCATTTTAAAAAATATCATATATAATTCTCTTGTTATTTTATAAAATAAGAATTAAATATAAAAATGCATATATTAATTATTTTAAGAATAAAAAATATATTTAATAATTTATTTATTTAATAAATAAAAATTATAAAAATAAAAATTAGATAATTTAAAAATATTCATGTTAACATTTTCTTACTTTGTTAAAATGTATACTATTTATTTTTTACAGTGCTATATTATTCAGTTTGTATTTTATTTTAGATCCAAAATCTGTTATAGTGAGTAATGTAATTAATGAAAAGATATACTATATTTGGTTTTTTTATAAAAAATAAAAGTAATTAAGTCACGTATGTTTTTTATAAATATAAACTTTATTCTAAAAATATTCATATATTAAATGTTATAGTTAGTAATTTATATAATTAATAATATTAATAAAAGAAAGGTATAAAAGAAATTTAATGATTAATACTTCTTAAATTTAAGAAAATACTTTATTCCGTATCTTATAAAAAAGATCATAAGGAGTATTTTTTTTTATTTATTGATTGAACTAATAGTTTGGTTGATGTGATAATTAAAATATACGAGGATCGGTTCTATTATATTTATTATGGGACATGTTTCTTACACTAGTACATTTAAAATAGGATTTTTTAATTCTTTTAAATGTATATAAAATAGATAAAAATAATTATGCACAATATCATACCAAGTATAAATTTCAGATATTTAAATATATAATATAACAGTATATATTATGTAAAATCTTTTGACGATGAGAAAATTCAAATGATTGATGCAATTAATGTGCTGTAAAGTTTTATTATG